ACAACCTTCTTTGTAATCTTCTTCTTCACCATTGCAGAATCAACACTACGAAAATCGAAAACAAAATCAAAATCAAAAAACCTAAAAATCGAAGAATCAAAACAATTTAAACTAACAAAAATCTCAAAAAAATAAGTAAACGAACCTGAATTAAGCAAATAACAACTTCACCAGTGAAAAAGAAGAAAGAAAAAGCTCGAAAATCAACAATGGAGGACAGAGAAAACGCTCGAAATCGCCAGTTACTTGCTTTTAGAGAGAGAAAAACGAAGAGAGAGAAAGCTATAGTGAATGAATGAAGAGAGAAAAGTTCTATTTCTTTCTTTATTTTGGCAATCATTAGGAAGCACGTGCCAAACCCACTAAATTAGCAGTTAATGCTTGTCCAAAAATTCCGCCATTCATTAAATTAATGAACACCGGTTTTTTTTAAAAAATTTGTGTTGATCATATTAGTTGGACTTCCACCAAAAAAAAAAAAGAGTAAAGTAAAATAAAATAAAATACTACCTAATTGGACAAAAATTGAAGAGCCAACTAAGATTGGTAAATAAAAAAATAATTAAAAAAAAAAAAACTCTTGCGGAAATTTGATAAAATTAAATTCATTCCGGTGACAATTTCATACTCCCTCCGTCCCCGATTGATAGTCACTTTTGCCATTTCTGGTGACTCAAAATGTTAGTCACATTTGCTTTTTTCAAGTACCATTAATACTTCCTCCGTTTTTAAATACTTGCTCCACATTCCATTTGCGACCGTTTTTAAATACTTGCTCCATTTACTTATCTGGAAAATTTATACTCCCTCCGTTTCACTTTGTTAGTCCCATATAGAATCAATCACAAAAAATAAGAGAATAAAAAATATTTGAAATCTTACATTTTAGTACAAAAATTGCTTAATTAGTTCTATCTTATTAAATGTTTCGATCTTTTTATATTTGGAAAGCATCAATTACAATGCTTGTTTAATGTGATCAATGATCAATCAGAATATTAAATTACTGTCATGTCATCAATCCACTAATGGAATTAGAAATTGTAAGACCAAATTAGGAAAATAAAATAAAAAAAGGAATAGATTCAATATAGGTGGATCATTTTAAAACGCCCAAAATAGTATATGGGACTAATATTATGAAATGTAGGGATGGCAACGGGTCGGACTCGGGGTGGATTATGCTAAATTCGACTTCGATCCGACAGGAAGTCGGAGGCTAAATTCGACTCCGATCCGACCCGGCTCCGAGTTTTGTTTTCGTTATTCAATATACTTTGAGAAATTGGGCTATTTGGGTCTTTACAACCCACACCCAATGCAACCATGACCCACACAAAAATCCACTATCTATTGGAGTCGGACAATCCGTCAGAGTCGGACAGTTGTCAGAGTCGGGTTTTTTTCTCGGATATTTTGTAGGTACCGACTTCGACCCTCCTCCGACTCGGAGTCGGATTATTTTAACAGAGTCGAACTCAGATTACTTTTTTTCTCGGACTCGGAGCGGATTTTTTTTACCTCGAATCAGGGCGGAGTAGGGTCGGATCCGGATTGGATTGCCATCCCTAATGAAACGGAGGGAGTATGACATTTAATTAGTTTCTCTCACCTAGTGAATCCAACCTACATTCTCTCTCCTCCAATTCTCTCCATTACTTTTGCTTTTTACAATTTTTATTTTTCACCAACCCCACTACCTCCATATTTTATTACTTTTTCCAATTTCTCCTTAAACTCCGCGCATGGAGAAATGGAGAAAGTATTTAAAAACGGAGGGAGTATATTTTTTTTTACCAAAATTCTCTAACATTTGTAAAAATATTTATGCAAATTTAAGTTTTCCATGTAAATTTTACTTTCCCATGTACTTTAATTATTTTCTCTCTCTATTTTTTTGCATACCCAATGTAAATTTATTTTTTCAATGTACTTTTTTTATTTCTCCTTAATTCCCGTGATTTTTTTAGCAAAAGTGACTATCAATCGGTGACGGAGGGAGTAATAATAAAAAATAATCTTAGGCAACAATTGACCCCATTACCCCAAAGTGAAAAACGGAAAAATACTCATAAATATCTTACTTATTTCCTCCGTGTTTTAATAAAGTGTTATACTTTGACTAGCATATAGTTTTAGGTAATTTAACTTAAATAAAATAAGAGGTAAGTGGAGTAATCAATGTATTTGGGTAAATAATTTATTAAAAAATTACAATGAGAAAAAAGAATTTTTATTTTTTTTAAGAAAAAAGAATTAATACTCTCTCCGACCTTTTATTTAGAGCTTGTATTTCATGTAATCTTCTATAACTTTATACTAAAGGTGAAACCAAAAATGACACATGTTATCTCCTGGTTAAAAATTTTCCCTCCAAAAGGTTTTTTTTTTTTTTTTAATTTTTATTTTTTTGGCCAAAGCTTCTTAGAGAAGTTTTTAATACAAACTATGCAATAATATTTCATTTCATATTTGATAAGTATATTTTATTTGTACACATTCTAACAAAGATATTATTTTTTTATACAATAATATGCAATAATAATTTGCTATCTATAACTTTGTAATATAATTCATAGTTATTTTTATTAGTCGTGCATATATTATTCTCTTTGTTTTCTTTAGTGTGATAAATTTTTTTGGTAATTGCAGAACTTTCATCCTATTTTACAATTAGGTATAATTTTTTATAATTAGATAATAATAGTGTTAAACTAATGATAAGTTAAGTATTATAAAATTACCGTGCATTGCACGGGACTTAACCTAGTTAGGTAACTAAAATTAAAAGCATATGCCTAAAAAATAATAAAATAAAAATTAAGAGCATATCTATCTATATATATACTAAAATAACAACCGCTAATGTCATCACTGTATACGTGTTACTTTCTTATTTTATTTTTTCCCTCCAAAATGAATGGATGTTGTCATATTATTCCTTTACAAGCTACCCTATTTAACATTGCTTTGAAAATAGAATTCCATTTGAATTTTTAAATTTTTGTTTTTTACAAATATTATGTTATTTAGTTATTTATGATTTGTTAACAATAGTTAATAATATAATTTAATTGAAATTTCCTAATTAAATATGAAAATTATGCACTTTTGGAAATTGTATAGTCATATTTAATCAAAAATTAATTAGGAAAACAGAGGAAGTAGTTATTTTCTTTCAATATGTGTTAAAAATTTATAATTCAATTCTTACTATAAAACTGTGCATTGCACGGGATTAACTTAGTATTCTACTAGGTTAGATCCCGTGTCATGCACGGTGATCTTTATATATAGTTATATATTATTGATTGAGAAATATTATAATTATAAATTAGTCAAGAAACAATAAAAGTATGTGATATGTTAATTTGATATTTGCAATTTTAATTGTAGCTTCCAATACACAACCAAAACAAAGTAGGCAAAAAAATGACCAATATATATATATATATATATATATATATATATATATATATATATATATATGTTTTATTGTAAAATAGGTTACTAATTATTTAAAAATATTTATTTTTGGTATATATTGCCCAATATTTTTTAGAAAGATTTGTGAATAAATCTTTTATTTAAAATATAATAATTATAACATGTCAGTAGGGAATATGTACAAAAAAAAAAATATGATTTTTGTAAATGATTTGTTTCCTTAATTAAAATATTTTTTTTAAAAAAATAAATAAATGAGGACACACCAGGAGATGACACGTGTCATCGCTGGTGTGTCTTTTAGTATATAGTATTGATTGATTAAAAGGGTATACTTTTTGACAAAGTGTATTATCTTTTTGATTTTTTTTTTAATATACTTTTGACATTAATTTCAAATATTTTGTACTTCCTATTACTTCGTATTAGTTTTAAGGAATCTACAAATTTTTTTTTAATATTTTAAAATTATTTTTTATTTAATTTTTCAACCCTTATCAACAAAATACAAAATTAAAAAAAAAAAAAAAAAGAGGGGGAGGGGGGTTGGAAATGAAATTAATAAAATTAGACAAATTCCTTGTTATGCATTTGTAAATGCCTTACTTTCAGTTCCTCAAAGAAAAGGCCTAAGAACTAGCTTTGTTGGAGTTCGTATAAATGTCCTCATAGTGCTTGAAAACTTGATTAAAAGCATATTCCAATTTGCTGAACTGAGTTGAACTGATTGAGCTGAACTGAATAAATCTAAAATGAATTAATTACGAGAGAAGGAAATCAGGAACTGAATTGAACTAAAATGAACTGAACTGATTGGAGTTGAACTGAATTGAAATTAAGCTGAATAGAACAGACCTTATTCTCATATTCTCATGCCTTCAGTGTCACTGGATGTAGTTATCTAGTTTTCAAATGTGTCAAGTTGTAAGCTAAGCTATACGTAGGCAAATTGGTAATGATAGAACAAGAATACAACAATGTCAATAATAACAACAACAAAGCCTTAGTCCTAAAATGTTTCGAGGTCAGCTAACATGAATAAAGCTATAATGAGCATTAAAAATTATACATAGTACTATTCTAGAGAGTGCCAAGAAAAAAATATTTATGCATCATGTAATGATAGAATAGCAGCAGTAAGCGCTTAAAGTTGTACGAGTACTTCGTCTTAAAAGTGCCAAGGAACGAAAATATAGAAACCAAGTCCAAGGTTTATCAAACCTTCAAGACAATAAGAAAAATTAAATCAAAAGAACTCCAAAATACCATGAGAACAACCAGATTAAGAAACCTAATGTAAAGATAAACTTAAACAAATTTGGTAAAATCTAGAACAAAGCTAATGTATCTCATAGTAGTATTTGGCAGTCCAGTAGAAGTCAATCAAGAATTTCGACGAAGGACACACACATGCTCATGTTTCAACATAGTATTATGCTCGCAGGTTGTGTTAGTAGTTTGCTACAATGTTGTTGCTCTATGTGCTAAGCCATTAGACCAATTAGTGAGATTATTAGGAGGGTAAAACACAAACTCTTGTAGAGGCGCAGAACGAAAGAAAATCTAAGAACATGCTTGTTGAAAAGGACATCTAACCTATTAGGCTAGTACCATTTCTTCTATCTTACATTGCGGGAAGGGGTGAGGTTGCATTTCCAGGCGAACGAAGGGAGCCACCGAACCACTTACTGTTTTAGAAAAGGAGTGAACTTCCAACAAATTTTACCACTCACCAGGAGAAATGTTCAGCAACTTTTGACAATCCTTCATACCTGGCTGTTAACAATAATTACAATAAACAATGTCCAATCCGAGCAAGAAACAAAAAGTTAATGAAGGATTTACACATGTTGCCTTCTGTTAACGAGGAACATATACAGATACCAAATTCAACAGACTTCAGAAATTTCAATTACTGCCTACGTATGAACTTGTTATTCACATTTTAACATTCACAGGTTGTTACTTTACCTAAATTTGTGCACATCTGGTATCTTTGAAAGGTCAATAATCTGGCACGACTAGAGATTCGAAGTACTTGAAACATCATCGCATTTAGTTAGCATGATCAGGTTTCTACGCACAAAATAATCATCTGCTCAACTTATCTCCTATAAAAGTTTGCTTGCACTGCAATGGAATCACTGTCTCGTGCTGTTCTCTGATTTTGACTCCTAGCTGTGAATATAGAGTAAATCAAAGAAATGATAAGAGGTCTAGCACTGAAACAAAAGTGCGGGTGAGAGCTGCAACATAGATGATTGCCTTACCGTTATAAACCAATGTAGGCATGCCAACAGGGTAACTTCCAGAAACTAACCCACCTGTTCTTGTATTATATGGAACATTGGACATGGTATTCACGGGACGAAGATGATAGCTATGCCAAGTAACAGGCATATATTGATGTTGCCAAAAAGGATATCCATTGGGCCAGATATTGGCAGGCTGTCTAAGAAGTATAGGATTATGAGGAGTTAACTCATGACGAGAAACTACCCTAGGACGCTTTTTTTGTTCAGCAGACTGTACAGAGACTGCAGGGCGTTTCTTCTCAGTAAGGGAGTCAGAGGGAAGAGTTAGATTATTTGTTTCCATCTCCTCTACATCTGTCTTTTCTAAGTCTGAACACTTCTTTATTGTAAACGAACATGCATTGGTCTTTCGTTTTACCCTTTCCTCTTCCAACTGCTCAATGCGCAATTCAAGAGAATCCGGGGAATGATGGGAATCGAGCTTGAAGTAGGAAATACAGTTCACAACTTCTTTGAGGGCAGTTAATTCTGTATCAGAAGCATCATCCTGCAAAAGAGTCCAAGTCATGAAAAGAGAAGTACCAAGGGAATGGCAAACCAAATAAATGAAATTCTAGTTTTGAGGTTTTGCATCATTGCATGGGTTGTGTACATGTTCATGTAATCATGTGTAACAGACATAAGTCTCCAGACATTTAGATAGGCAGGCCCTTCACTGAATCTCAAGGCCTCAGAAAAATATGCAAAGTGACTATAGCTGTACATATGTTCAAACTAATAGGGTAGTATTCAATTGAAGAGTAAGCCATGCAATCCAGCAGGGTATCATAAAATTATGTACGAAGTATATACTTGCATTAAAAAAAAAAAAAAAAAAAAAAAAAAAAAAAAAAAAAAAAAAAAAAAAAACTATGGCTGGATTTAAGCAACCCATTATGGCACAAATGCAGTACAGAAGGAAATTTGAATCAGGAACAAATGACATAGTACAAGGTCACTAAAAAAACGCATAGTAAATTTTTTTTATTTTACCCAATTATACTTAACATGGCTTGAGGAAACACACCTAAATCATGTCTAAACCAACAGGATTACTAATGATACTATACCACAACCTGCTGGATTTCAATAAAGAGAACCTACAATATACTAGACAGTAGACACACAGCATGTAAATTGTTGTTATTGCATAAATGTATTAGTGAGTTGTTCCAAGTTTGGCATGAGTAAGTAAAAAGATTACCTATAGTTTTTTTTTTTTTTTTTAATGATAAATGTACCTGAGCTGTTCTGCTGCCACTGTTGAGTATCTTCTTAACTCTCTTGTGGATGTTCGCTAAATGGGTTTTCAATAGTGGAGCTATTGGGAAAGCATCTTCCATATTATGTGCACATATATACCGCACTGCTTGCAGCTGTTCATCTCTCAAAATAAGAGATTGGACAAGGTCTGTATAATGAACAAAAGAATTTGATCTCTAGTCAAATAACCTAAGACAAAGTCGACATGAGATAACCTAGGACACGTTCACAAGACAATTGACAATATTACCAACATACTTTATTCCAGACGAGCAAGAAAAAACACTAATAAACCATCTAGGGCCAGAGCACAAAAAAGGAAAGCAGCTCATATCAAACATACTGATAAGGCATACAAGGAATCATAGAGAACCAAAGATCCTAGAGCTAGAAATTCCTCTGCATTAGCCCCTTCAGCTACAGTTCACCAGTCAGATGCATTTGTCTTAACTACTAATTTAATTGAAGATTTGAAAGTACTCCCATGCTACAGAAGATAGCATGATAATAAAGAGAGAACGTTGATGAACCAGTATATAATTCCATAGAAGAGAACAATTCACTAAAGCAGATCCTAAAATGATGAATATACAAAATTTCAACAGCTTATTATGTACAAAGTCCTTTATTTTTTATTTTATCACTATTTTCTCAAGCCTCAAATAAATTTGATAAATTCAAGAGAGTAGACATACAATTTACTAATTTAGTCTATATGGTGTACGTTTTTGCAGTACATAAGGCACGGAAACAATCTTTCCTCTACTCTTTTTTCAATATGAAGGTCACAGCAAATACCACATATATAATATGCAAGTCCTTTGTACCACTTATCAACTAGACTAGAATTACAATTTGGCTTACTATGGTGGAGACATGCCAGTAAATAATTTACAAACCCATTATATTGAACCACTTCAACAAATTTATGGAGTAGCAATATCAAAACGCGTAATTACACTGATTTTCTTGCATGATTCTTTTACCAGGAGAAAAGGTAAATACGAAGTATTAATGAATAAAATAAACTTGGGTATTAAGAGAAATAAGAGTTTCAAATACCTGGAATCTTTACTGTCAGTCCCAATGCATCGCATAAATATGAATTCTTCTCAGGTTGATAAACCTCCCTCTGATTGCAAAAGGTTACAAAAAGTGAAAGGAGATCATCCACCTGGTAGAACTCTGCTAGCTTGTATGAGGCTACATACTGTAAAAAGCCAAAATTCTCCAAAGAAATATTATCCTGCTTCAGCATCATCTTCCAGATGTCAGCAAATTCTCTGGCTTCATCTTTCACATGAGAGGATATATCAGCCCTTAGTTTCATTAACTGGACTAACAGAAATATACAGCCTTTTGTAAAATCTTTCACTGGAACCTCTTCCAACTCCAACTCATAAAAACTTTGAATCACATCTAACACAAGCTTTGCTGGATCTGATGCCAAACAAAGAGAATCGAAAAGCTTATCCTCCGATACATCATACACCTTGACATGCTGAACAATATAAGATCTTACACCTTTCATGTCCATGTTTTTGCATAGCAATTTTATGTCATCAGACAACCTAATGGATGATGAAGCAACATAGCTTGTTAAAGTCTCCGGCAAAGGCTCTTTAGTTTCAACTTGTACTGAAGTGGAGCTTCCTAAAAAGTAAACATGAAGCAAAATTAAGATTCGGTCTGAGACTATTTAGATTCTCAGAAGAATCGGATAGAAAACTGAAATTCAAAAGATAATGTGAGCAAACTAAGATTAGAGGAGATCTAAAAGATGGCAACAACTGCAGTCTAAGTACAAAAAATTATATCATTCATACATTTTCAGTAGCACAAAATATTTAGGGAAGCAAGAATGAAGAACAGAGAAAAATACAATCTTCAAATTGAATATATCCAAGGGTACTATTGTACAGAAAAATGCTCAGAATGGTACAAGTAGCTAACCAGCTAATACATAGAAATCATTTAATATGAAGGAACAGATTCCTCAATATTCTGTACAAAGTATCTAACAAAAGTACTGCCCATGAGCTAAGCATAATAAATTGATGTCTAGAATGCACTGGAAGATGGAAAACAACTTAGAGACTCCTTTAGAGAGCCAACAACTGGCTTAACTACCTAGACAGATGATTTGGGCTATCTTTGATATCAAACTCTAATGAACATGGTATTGGTTTCAAATTAAATTTGTTGCTGTTACAGAATTAGTTTTCTTTTTTTGAACCATCATAGTCCAAGAATATTACTAGACATGCCAAACATAAAACAAGTAATTTTCACTAAAGGCTATACCTATTTCAAAGATAGCATCAGCATCAAAACAGGGCGCTTTGACTACTTTCACCCCTTGTGGTAGTGCCACTACCAATTCACTAGAGTTACAATCTATCCATGATGACACATATTATAAATTTACTACTATTTCATATATAGTATAATAGATTAATACATCTATGCTAAATCAAAAGAGAGTTACTGACTTATCTGCTTCTCTTTCTCCTCCATTGCTTCATAACGGTCATTGACCTCCTTCTCTTTTAGCTCCATTTCCCTGTATTTCTCATTTATTTGCCTCTCTAATAATTCAAAAGCCTGAAGAGCCTCATTCAATTGCTTCTCTTTCAGCTCAGCCATGCTACACTGTTCACTGATCTGTTTTTCTTTCAATTCCAATTTTTCACAACGCTTATCAATGTGCTTCTCTTTCGTTTCAAGAGCCTGAAGGCGCTCATTTAGTTGCTTCTCTCTCAGCAAAACCATCTTACTGTGCTCACTGATCTGTGCTATCTTCAGCTCTAATTTTTGGTAACATTCATCAATGTGCTTCTCTCTCAGTTCAAGAGCTTGAAGGCCCTCATTCAGTTGTTTCTCTTTCGGTTCAAGAGCTTGAAGGCCCTCATTCAGTTGTTTCTCTTTCAGCTCAATTGCCCTGCAGAGCTCATTGACCTGCCTCTCTTTCAACTCTAAACTTTGGTAGCGCTCATCTATGTGCTTCTCTTGCAACTCCAAACATTGGCAACGCTCATCAATGAATTTCGCTTTCAACTCCAAATCCTGACACTGCTCATTAATTTGCTTCTCTTTTGCATCCACCCCTTGTGAATATTCTTTCATTTTCTTCTCCTCCAGCTTCATCACTCTAAAGCATTCCTCTATTTCCTTCGCTTTCATTTCTAGAACTTCAAGATTTTTATTCAACTGCTTCTCTCTGACTTCCGCTGCTTGGCGATGTTTCAGCTCAATCCCCTTGCAACAATCCTCTATTTGCTTTACTTTCTGTTCTAGAGCTTCGACACTATCATTCATTTGCTTCTCTCCCAATTTCACTACCTTCAAGTATTCATTAACTTCTTTCTCTTTTGATTCCAGACTATCACGATGCCTATTCAATTGCTGCTTACTCAACTCCAGAGCTTGTATACCTTCACTCATTTCCTTTTCCTTCAATTCTAAAGCTTGAGTCCGCTCATTGAGCTCCTGCTCTACCAGTTTCAGGCCTTTATGGCTCTCATCTGTCTGCTTCCCTTTCATTTCCAGCACCCGAACACCTTTACTCAGTTCCTTTTCTTTCAATTCTACTGCTCGGAAACGTTCATCAATTTCCTTCTCTATCAATCCCAACCCTTTTCGACTCTCAGTAACTCGTTTCTCTTGCAGCTCCAATTCTCGAAACCTGTCATTCATTTCCTTTTCTTTCAACTCTACTGCTTTACACCTTTCATCAACTTCCTTCTTCATCAACTCCATCCCTTTACATCTCTCATCAATTTCCTTCTCCTTCAACTCTAATGCTCGAGCACTCTCACTCATTTCCTTTTCTTTCAACTTCAATGCTCGAGCATCCATATTCACTAACCTCTCTTTCCTGTTCACTGCCAAAATACACTCACCAACATCCTTCTCTCTCGACTCTAGCTTTCCTCGACGCACCTCGAATTCGTTCTCCTTCACTTCCAATGCTCCACACCTTTCCTGAACCTCCCTCTTCATCACCTCCACCCTTTCAAAACTCTCAATCAACTCCTTCTCCTTCAACTCAAACACCTTCCGCTCCTCCGCCATTCTCTTAGCTCTCATCTCCAACTCATCACACTGCTCATTCAACTTCCTCTGTTGCAATCCCAACCCTCGACGACTTTCAATCAATTCCTCCTTCTTCACCTCTAACTCATTCCTACAAACCAAAAACCCCTCATTCACCTCCTTCTCCTTCAACTCCAACTCCTCCATTCGCTCTCGAATTCGCCTTTCCCTTGAATCCATCATCCCCTTCTCCCTCAACTCAACCCCCTCATTCACCTCCTTCTCCTTCAACTCCAACTCCTCCATTTGTTCTCGAAATCGCCTTTCCCTCAAATCCAGCCCCTCTTCACGCTCCATCACCCCCTTCTCCCTCAACATCACCCCCTCATTCACCTCTTTCTCCTTCAACTCCAACTCCTCCATTCGCTCTCGAATTCGCCTTTCCCTCGAATCGAGCCCCTCCTCACGCACCTTCACCCCCTTCTCCTTCAACATCACCCCCTCATTCACCTCCTTCTCCTTCAACTCCAACTCCTTCATTCGCTCTCGAATTCGCCTTTCCCTCGAATCCAGCCCTTGCTCCCGCACCATCATCTCCTTCTCCCTCAACTGAAACCCTTCATCCAAATTACACCGTTCAGCCAACTGCTCCTCTCTCACCTCCAACACCCTACTACGCTCCTCAATCTCCTTCCCCAACCCTTCCAACTTCTTCCGACTCTCAAGAATCTGCCTATTCTTCAACTCAATCACTTCATATCTCTGTTTTACCCCTTTCTCTCTCCTCTCCACCTCTTCCACCCTCTCTTTCACCGATTTCTCCCATAATTCTAGCTCACTCCTCTTCACTTCAGCCTTCTCCTTCATCATCTCAACTTTCTCAAAAACATCAAAAATTTCTCTCTCCTTTGACTCAAGTTCCTTCTCACGACTCGCCATTGAAGCTTCTACAATGGAGAAGGAACTCTGCAAAGCACTCCATTGTTCGGAAAGAGAAGGAATTGAAAACACATTTGAGTTCGAATTATCAAAAGTTTCGCTGATTTTTTTCATCACTAACCTGGCATTGGCGACCTTCATAGTGGCTGAAATTGTGGATGTTTGGTCCTCCTCCATTGATGATGAAAAATTGCAGAAATGGAAACCCTAGGAGAGAGAAATTTTAACCAAAAATGGCATGATAATTGGGGGAAAAGGATGAAGAAATTTGCAATTTCTGGAAAGAAAATTAGTTAAATGTGAAGAACAGGGGTAGAGTGGAATAGTGGAGAATGGAATAACACAGACACAGTTGTTGCATTTGTTGAAAAATGACAACGTAGCGTCGTCTACTAGTAAATCGTGTCAATATTTCTTTTGTATTTCCGTACTACTTTTAATTTACCTGAGGTGTGGTGCTTGGAATAGGTTGGGTTTGATTGGATCGGGTTTGATTTCGGGTTTGAGATTAGTACCATTATCGTAGACGAAGTTTGATCAATCAATCTGAATCCGACTTCATTTCTTGTACTTGTTACTCGCTCCTTTCTTAAATTAGGTTCTTGTTTGTAAAATTACACGGGAATTACGGAGGAAAGAATAAGACAAATAACAACAATGAAATATTTCAATGGGAAATACAAAACATTAAATGATATCTTTGATTAAAACAAAGATAGATTAATGATGTCATGTCATCAATCCTTTGCAAAAAAAAAACAAATAACATGCTTCTAATTGAAAATTAAGAACCAATCATATTCATTAGGTTAGTTATAGGAAGTACAAACTTGAGAAAAACGATGGAGAGAGAAAATAAGAGTAGGATTAGGATAGTAAGAGAGAGAAAACATTAAATATACAATAGAAAAAGAGAGTTGATTTGGGATATTTGGAAAAAAAAAACTTACTAAAAATGGAAAGAAAGAATGTAATTTTGGAATACCCAAAATAAAAACCAGGAATGTAATAATGCTCGCAATAGTTTGAGTTTGATATGAATACTTTTTTTTTTTTTTTTTTGAATTGATATTAGTATTAAATCCAAATGTTTCACTCCTAGTGTAATTTGTTGTTGGATTAGGTTCATTGTATAGTTTTAGATTTTTTTCCCATAATTTTATAAATATATAAATAGCATATTTTTATGGTCAAACATCTATGTCAATTAAATTGTGACACGTATTTAGAAATAGAGAGTATAATACTCAACCTTACCTTAGGAAGGAAAATGAGTCAATACTCTCAGTCTCGTAAACATCTTGCAAATAAGCTTGGTCAAAGTCCCGTTAAAAAAAAAAAAAAAAACCTTGGTCAATGTTCGTTAACTAAATAAGGTGTTGTTTGGTTGACATAAAAAAGTATTGGAAATTGGAATTTCTAGGAATAGGATTTTTTTTACTCCGTAGGTGATTGGAGGTGGAAATTCCTAGAAAATTTAAGGAAAAATTGACATTTACTACCACCGAAAGCACCCCGTATCAGATTTACTACCCATTTAAAAAAATATTTTATTTTGCTACCACAAAAATCCCTAAAATATATATTTCACTACCAAAGGCTAAGACCGTTATTGTTTGGGATTTGTTAAACATCGCCCACAAATTACTACATAAAGCCCACAAAATTCACTTGGTTTGCCAAAATTGCCCTTGACCTTAAAAAAAAACACTCACACTCTCATCACTCACACTCTCATTGCTCATCTTCTTTCAACCTCTCTAAAAAAAAAAAATTTCAAACAACGGCAATGTCGAGGCGGCAAGGCAAGGAATTGGCGGCGGCGGCGGAGGGAAGGATGTCCCAAGGAGGAAAGGTACATTTTGTTAAAAAAAAAAAAAAAAAAAGGGAAAAACCGCCGTGACGGCGGTGGGGCGCCCTGGCTGGACCCAGCCAGCGGTGGTGGCGCCAGCTGCAGACGCCGCCACCAGTTGGCTGGCGCCTGGGCTGGACGCCATAGCCACGGTTGTGGCGTTTATTCAAGGTGTCGCAGCCGTGGCTGTGGCGTCCAGCCCAGGCGCCAACCCACTGGTGGCGGCGTCTGCAGCTGGCGCCACCACCGCTGGCTGGGCGTCCAGCCAGGGCGCCCCCCCCCCCCTTTTTTTATATATATTTTTTAAAAAAATTGTTTTTAATTTTTTTTTTTTTTTTGTGTAATATATTTTTGAATTGTTTTTATATTTTGTTGTTTATTTTTATAAATTTTTTCAATTTCGTTGTATTTTTTCTATGTTTATATTTTGTTTACAATTATTTGTATGTTTTTAGTTTATTTGATTTGGGAGTGGTAGCTATTTTTCGTATAAATTTTTGTATGTTTATATATTTTAAAATTTTGTGTAGAATTCACTGGGTCGTCATGGTGCGGGGAAGAATATAGAGCTTCTTAGTAGAAGCTATTCAGTGGAGAGGTCGGGGCATAGACATGTCAGATCCCGTGGTATTTCGGCCTCAGCTCGTAGAGAACGGATCCACCGTCGGGATGAGAATGACGATGACGATGATGATGCTGAGGAGGGTGACCAGGAGGAGGAGCAGGAGGAGGGCGCAGATGAGGATGAGGATGTGGACGATGGCAGTGGACCGTATGATGATTACGGTCCATTCAGTCAGAGGGTTGATGACATGTACGAGACACATACGGTGGAGGTGCGTAAGGGTAGGGGTGGTAGGTTTGTTAGTAGATCTGGCACATCATCTGCGTCCACTGTATCTGGGGCAAGCAGGAAACGGTCGAGGGCCGGTAATGATTCTTGGGTTGTTAGGAGTGAGGTGCCCGGTGGGCCTGTTGACGGGAGTGTGATTCCTAGCTTTCTAGGACACATAGCTGCCCGTATTTGGGAGGACCAGGAGAGGCCTTCAGTTACGGGGTTGTTGAAATGTCATACCCGGGAAAAGACTTGTAGCTTTTTGCGTACATGGGCTGAGGCCTGGCCGGCGGAGAGCACGTAGGACGCCCGACGCACAGCTGAGTGCTTATGTTTTTCTACTCCTCGGATGTACCTTGTTTCCGGATAAGAGCGGCGGAAACAAGCTCAGGCCACGCGACATAGTAGAGGCGTGTGACCCCGACAGTGTAGGCCAGTTTTCCTGGGGATCGGCTACGTTGGCGTATTTGTATCGCCAACTAGGATTTGCGAGTCGGGCTGACGCGGCAGGTATCACTGGGTGTCTGACTCTATTGCAGACCTGGATATACGAGTACTTTCCTGCATTGCGACCACATCGTGACCCAGTTCCTATTGATGAAGGGATGCCGCGTGCTTGTGCGTGGAGTCCGCGCTCGGAGAAGTCCGTTGACCGCCTCCGATCGATACGGTTGTTGCTGGACAGGCTTTCCCCCTTAGAGGTAACGTTTATTTATAGAGTCTACATTTTATTATTTGCACATATTATATTCATGTTATTAAATTTTATATGTTGTTATTGTACAGGTGAACTGGATGCCTTTCGGCCCGAACCCTAGTGTTAGGGTACCCAGGACCCTGTACACGGGACTCATTCAGTATCGTGAGATCGTCGAGGCGTACATGCCCCAGCGTTGTCTTCGCCAGCTTGGATTTGTCCAAGTTGTCCCTCCTCCCCCGGCATGCCCAATGAAGGCGGTCCGACCTGCATCGTCGAGGGACTACGTCGTGCAATGGCCGGATATCATGACCGGGACGTGGGACCAGTTTCCGATGGTGGCCCGCTTATGGACTGCGGAGTTGCAGCGGCCGCCCTCTGGGGTTACTCCCATGTGTGACCATTACTACATGGAATGGTTCAACCGGTATTCGCACCCGAGGTTGATCGCAGATCTCGACCACAGCGATGATGATTATGTGCCACCGCCTACTGCCACGGAAGCGGTATGTCTTTTATTATATTTATCGTTGTCTTTTAATTAAGTTTTATATGTTGTTATTGTATTTCATCTTCTGTTTTTTGTTGTATGCAGTGGATGGGAAAGATAATGCAGGACGTACAAAAACTCTCTCTTGAGAAGGACAGCATGAGTGCAACAGGGAGAGTTGTTGTTGATAGTCTGGAACAGACCCTTGCGCAGTGGGAGTCGTCGTCGAGGAGGGATTACTGATGGTTATTGTATTTTATTTATAGAGCATTATGTTGGACATTATGTTGTAAGATTGTAACATTTTAGATTGTTCTTTTAGCTTCCAACTTAAACATATTATCAGTGCTGTTTTTAAATTTTGATATAACCGTTCGTGGATCCGCGCAACTTACCCATGCAACATATAGAATGCAGTAAGCAATACAATATAAAATATTAATGTTCTCATTAAAAGAGCAACGTACAAATAAGATTACAAATAAAGAATGTAAACAGGAAAAACTAAAATGCAGCTAGGGTGTTCCATTCGTGGATCCGGTCATGATATAGCGCATCCCAACCCTCTACGCTCGCTGTGCGAATGTTGTACCACCGAGGTATAATCGGTGGCACTGGAAAATCGGTTGACATGTCTAGTCGGATGAAATGTTTGTATGACGACCCAAGAAACACAATAGCTAGCTCTCTGACCGGTGTGGTGACAGTCTCACGCGACCGCCAAGGGAGAACCGTGGTACAAGGATAATAAGCTTGACTATGCACTCCCAGGCCGAAATGCATGACTGCGCATTTGTAAATGTTTGCAACGGCAAACAGATCTAGGGGCGCGTCAAAATAATGATTTTGGCCGCAAGGTCCACCTCCCCACCGGATACGCCGCAGAGCGCCATCCAAGTCATCCTGGTACACATGACGATAAACATTTCGGTTAGAGGCAATTTCGCTGTACATCAACTGACGCACCAAACCGTAGTTGTCTTCGCCCATTTGAAAAACATCAGCCACGACCCGGAATCCGCAGTTACCATCTCCGATTACATCATTCCACCCTTCCAAGTACGACATGATGATCGCAGGTATCCTTTCCTTGTACGGAAACTGATCAACATCGTTTCTTCCTATTCACCATATAATTATAGACAGTTAAGAAGGCAGGAGTAACACTTTAAAACTATGTGCAATAAAAACAACCAAAACGTACCAGTTCTCAGGGGCATATTCACAGACGATGAAGATTGACTACGACTAGATGACGATGTCCGACCACGAGAACGACCACGACCAAGACCACGGATATACTCAAACGCACTCTTGTTCCGCCGTTGTCGACCTCGAGGACGGTCAACTCCTTCGGGTTCCTCATAATCTAAGGTAGACGGGTGGAACATGTCATGAAGTACATGAGTAGCGTCACGAATAATAGAAGGATGGCTGGAGGACACTCGGTCGTACATCGAACGAAACTGCTCCAACTCCTCCTGTTCACGGTCGACAGCATGAGTGTCTGCATGCTCACCAATAACAAGCGTCCTCCAGAATGAATGGACCTGATCAACATGTAACGACGCCCTTTCTTCTGTAATAACGCGGTGAATGGTGCATGCGCAAGGTAATCCATGAGTTACTGAAATAGTACACCCACACCGAGCATACACTTCGTCAGCCAAGTCCCTCACCCTGTTCAGCTCAGTGAGAATCAACCCCAAGCAGTAGTGCGACACACGACCATGGAGAATCTTAAATATAAAATGGCTATACATCGTACCATGTCGTCGTCTGGAGTCCTCTAGAGAGTTCCTGATGTCGTTCTTCTGAGTTTCAATTGACTTGCTCAGTCTAGCGAACAGTGTATCTAAAGCAGCGGTCGATGAATCAATCCAGTCCTTGGTAGCTCTATGAGCGCTCTCAACTCTACATGTTGTAGTGTTCCCAAAATGAAGTACCTGGTTTGTCCAATATTTGACAAACTTTTCCCTGTGAGGGACCCATTGATGCATCACATAGTCCACCAGTGCTGGACACCACAGGTACGAATCCCTGAAGTTAGCCAATGCTCGCTCATACGCTTCCTCTGTGGTAGCCTGTAGGATCTTCCGCCACTTACCATTCACCAATCTCTCTGCCATTTCCAAATTCTTCTTGAAAAGGTTGTAGGCTTTCACTTTCACGCAGTTGTTGATGTGCCATGTGCACAATAAGTGGTTCGATTCGGGAAAAAGCTCTGCTATGGGGGCAAAGAGACCTCCCTCACAGTCGCTGACGATGGCTGCTGGATGAACATTAGGCCCGATGTAGTTTCTCAGCTTCTCCAACACCCAATAATAACTTGGAGCCGTCTCATCCTTGATGATTGCATGACCAATCAGAAAGTTCTGGTTCGTTGGAGCCATCCCAACCATCTCAACCAGTGGGAACTTGTACTTGTTTGTCTTGTACGTTGAGTCGATCAAAATCACAAATGGCCAAGACTTGATCATATCAGCACAATCAGGATGCACAAGGAAAAGATGAGTCACCTCCGCTGTATCTTCATCAGAATCAAACCAGAACAGGTAACCACGTGATTGTGCCTGGTGTAGCAGCTGCTGTATAGGGTTCCTTCCCTCTGACCGTTCAAACCTGAGTTGTTGTCTGACGTTGTAGATGTGTCTTCGGTTTGGATGGTCTTCTGGAAATTTCTCTAACACAGATGCTAATATTTTAGCAGGCTTCACTTGAGCATCACTCATTTCTTTCACAACTAGTTTCGCAGCAGGACTTAAGCCGCTCAGTTGTCGATGACCCTCTTCATATACTATCATCTCATGGTTGTGATACCCCCATTTAGAGTAACCGTCACGACTCCGTAGTTGTCGAACCTTTACTCTGAACTCACACCCACAACCTTTCCGCTTTGTATCAAACCGAGTGGCTGTACGAAAATCTCTTTCTTCTCTTTTGCGATAACGGTCACATCTCAAAATGCGATCCATTCTACCATCCCGTTGAGATTTATGAGTTACTACTACCAAGCAAAATCCAGCTGCAATTGCAACCTGTTTTGCCCAATCAATCGCCTGTTGAGCTTCTTCGAATGGACCATCATGTCCAAATATCCCACTGTAATCATTTCCGTCTCCACCATATTCCTGCATCAATTATATATTACAATAAATACATTTAACGGATAATACATTTAATTTCTATATTTACACAGAATTAACACAAAAAAAAAGCATAATTATATATAATCAAACTTAATTTTTATAAAAACCCAATTTGAATTTTCAAACTAAATTTAAAAATATACCATTTCGAATTTGGAAATTTAATTTTAAAAAAACCTATTTCGAATTTTCAAATTTAATTTAAAAAAAAAACCATTTCGAATTTTTTCAAAAAATCATTTTCGAATTTTTTTAAAAAATCATTTTCGATTTTTTTTTTAAAAAAAATTAAATAAAAAACAACAACAAAATCAAAAAAGAAAAAAAAAAATAATTTATAAGGGTGGCGTCTGCCAGGGCTGCCACAGCCACTGGACTGGCGCCTGGCAGGGCCGCCTCACCCAGTGGAGTGGCGCCTGGCCAGGACGCCAGTCTGGTGGTCTGGGCGTCTGGGCTGGACGCCACTCTGGTGGTTCTGGCGTCTGGCTTGGACGTCCAGGCTACGGTTTGGGCGTCCACCCTAGGCGCCGGAGCCACTCCGACGGTAAACCGTGAATTTTAACGGTGACTTACCTCGTTTTCCGTCGACGACGACGTACCTCCGGCGTCCCCCGCATCTCTGGCCTGCCCACCGGTCTCCCCCGGCGAGCCAGTACGGCTCCACATTTTTTACACCGAGATTATTTCAATTTTAGAAAATGGGCATAATGGTCAAACCATATCATATTTGTGGGCTTTATATGGTAAATTGCGGGCGATGTTTAGCGTTTCACTATTGTTTCCGTTACTTGGGTTTAGCCACCGTTCAACCACCTTGCGGCCACCTCTCCACTTCACTGCCACCCCCTCCCCCCTACCGGCGCCGGCGCGACCCCACCCCCTTCCCCCAGCCGGCGCGACCCCACCCCTTCCCTTCCCCCACCTGTGCAACCAACCCCCTCCCTTTTCTCGTACTTGCTGCCCCGACCCCTCCACTCACACCGTCACCCACAACGCTAAACCACCGTCACCCACAACGCTAAACCACCACAACTCCGATCTCCTGCTCTCTCCAACATCACCAAGCTCAGCCCACACTTCAACCCCCACCGCAACACTGCAGCGAGCACCACCGCAAGACGCTTCGCTCCACCAGCAGCCCCGCACCACGCCATCAATTGAAACTGAATACACGTCGCTGCTATTGATACAAGATGAATGCCCCCATTGATGCAAGATCGATAATGCTTGGACTCCATTTCCGTCAACCGTAAACCACCAACGCCGCACAAAATTTCCCCCCTTTTCAAAACCCTAATTGCTTCAATTATGATTTAATTTCAATCAAAATCTTCTATCAAATCACTTCAAGGCTCTTCGATCCATTTTCGACGCTTCAGTGCTAGGAATCGAGGTTGAAAACGCCGGAATTAATGGAAGTAATTCAATTTGGGGTGGGGGTTGGGCAGCGAGAACGGGGAAAGGGAAGGAGGGGTTTGTTGGCTGCATAGGGGTGGGGGAGAGGGAGGGGAGTGGGTTCGCACCGGCGCCGGCCGCCGATGGGGGGAGAAGGGGTGGCAATTGAGGGGGAGGGGTGGTTGGGTTAATGTTTTTTTTAAAATAATTTTTTTTTTGAATAAACTTAACGGAACCTTAACGGATTCCGTTAAGTGGTAGTGAAATTTTAATTATGTGATTTTGGGTGGTAGTAATATAAAATATTTTTTTAAATGGGTAGTAAATCTGATACATGGTGCTTTGGCTGGTAGTAAATGTCAATTTTTCCAAAATTTAACTTCCCACAAAATGGAGCTTAATTACTTACCAATATAAGTAGAACATCCCATAGCATTTTCTAGGAAATACAATACAATTACATAAGAATATAAATTTCTAAGAATTTGCACTTCCTACAATCAACCAAACAGGCACTAAATAAATGAGCCTAAACAAAAAAATCTAAATTTCAATTTGTCAAAAAATAAACTCAGATCCAACAACTCCACCCAACTAAATAAGCGAGCCTAAACAAAAAATCTACATTTCAAGCGATAAATTCTGCTAAACAAGCTAAGCGATGCATAAAAAAAATATGCCAAGTATGAGATTGGGACACAGCAAAACGACTAAATGTTGGGGGTGTAGGATGATGCAAGGGGGCATGCGGTGTAGCATGGGAACAAGATATGTGCACCAAAGAACAAGGCATACAAACACCTATTTTTGGCTTATGATTAACAACCTCCATTCTTCCAACTAAAAAATACTGTCAAAAACAATTAAAGAAAAATAAATGCACAGATACCATACAATAGCTGAATGAAAGCTCTAAACAAAGTTAACATATAAAAAAAAAAAAAAAAAAAAAAAAAAAAAAAAAAAAAAAAAAAAAAAACAGAATTGCATATACTTTACATGATTGTAGTTAAAATTTAAACTAATGATTGAAACTTTGTTCTCTTCAAACTTAATGATTGTTAAAACACCTAAATTAACCAGCACAGAAGGGTGAAAACAATAAAAAAAGAGGATACAGACAAGATAATGATCACTATATCTTTCACAATTGAAATTACAAGCACAGTTTTTTCAGATGTCAACATATCATATTTTTGTGAAAAAATGGGTAAAGTAACATACTGTTCTACATTGTTTATCCAGATAAGACAAAATGATGGACATTTTTAGAATCAAAATCAAACTAAAGAACCAGTTTGTCACATCTGTTGTATGCATATTTTCTGAGGAAAACTGTAACCGGTCAAGGTCTCAGGGGCTCCTCAAAGTGGAAGCAATAACTACCAGGGCATCCTCTTTGATTTCAAAGCTGCACACAATCAGAAGAAACCAAGACAAAGTAGCTCATTTGCATGACTGAGATTCTTGAAACATCACCACAAAGTACTGGCTGTAAACTTCATTCTAAACCTTAATCCGAATCACAAATGAACCTGTTTAGGAAGCAACATATGACCGGTGCTTAGGTTGCAAGATACAGAAATGAAAATGAAAACTTGGAACATAAAAGCATAACACATTCAAAACAACAAAAAAGGATATCTGCTGAAAAACATGATGTGATTGATTGTATATAGATATCTCTAGAAGTAAACAATTAGACTAGCTGCAGTCAAAGTGTCAAACCAGCAGGAGAAGAGTTGATTCAGATTCTAATTTCTGACTGTAGGGATTTCAAGATCTCTATATTGAAGAATGCTACCAAAGACTAGTGACCATATAACACGCTTTAAAATAGACCCGACACCCAAAATGTCTAAATCCAACTTAGGCATTATTTATGATAATGAGCCATTTATAGCAGCTCGACTGCCAAAAAAGTCATATAATGTACTAAAAACTGAAAATAGCCACCAAGTATCTCTTTTCAGATGAAATTAGGAATTAAAATAAAAGCCACACAAGCTTTAAAATGATCACTCACATGCAGGAAGGTTAGAAATATCTGCTGAAACAGCACAAGGTATTCCCAAGTTTGTAAGTGCCCCCCTTATGATTCCACATGGAAAGTAGAGATGCATACTTGCTGCCTGTGCAGCTTTGTTCTCCACCGAAGCCTCAGATGTATCTTGGGACGTAACAGAGCTATCAGGTGACGGATCAACAGATATGTGTGATAGCCAACAGAATCGATTATCTTGCAGCACAAAAGTACCCTAACCAAACATAACAGACTAATCTTGTGAGACAATAAATCTTCAATTAATTAATATCAAACCATTTTGTAGTTGGCAGGAACTCACTCTATGATTTGTCTTCAAATTGTCAATCTGTTTCTTGAAGATTTCAGACCAGAAATCCTTACAGATGAACTTGATTGTGTCAAGATGGTCACCAAATCGTGGTCTATCCATGGTATACCTAACAAAAACAACTTCATGTAACAAGCTGAAACTTCCTAATTCCTACTTACTATAGCAGTAACTAAATGCAAACAAGCATTTGAACTCAAAATTTGAAAAAACAAACGGTAACTAACAGCAAATTAACATGAACATCAATCTTGAACCTTATTTTACTGAGAATGTGCACTTCACTAGGGAGGCTATTTGGCTATAAGCCTTATACACATCAAAAATGGGATGGAATCAAATAAAGGAAACAAATAGAATGAATTTCCAACCCATTCCCTTTTCTCAGAAAAAAAATGGTCCTACTTGCTCCCTCACCTTTCGTCACTCCAGCATTTATCTACCTGAATCACGATGAGCAGCACTCCTCCCCCTCCCCCCAATCAACCAACTAGATGAACTTTTAAAGCTGATTTTAGGGCTAATTTGCTAATTAAGGTAGAGGTGTGGAACAAACTACAATGCGGTAAACTGGTAATACATTTGGAAGTAGCAGTTATTTCACCTCTTGGTATTTCACTTCAAATAAAGCAGGAAATTTTGACTTTAACCTTAAACTTCTCTTACATTTCAGTCCCTTATGAGCAACATAGTCCATATGTTGAAACATTAAGTTGAACCAGTAATTTGAAACGGACTTCAGAGGAAAAGGTTCATGGATTTTTTCTGGTTTGGAAAGGAATAAGCACCCTTAGTTGCATGAAGACTTTTAATAGATCTTACAAGGTCTTATTAACAAGGCTTATAAAATGAGATCAAGAAATAAACTTGCCAAAGCATAACACTCACATAATCTTTCCCAATAACTACCCCATCACAATTTTCAAACATCATTCACAATTATCTCAATCCTTGCGATCTCTTAAATCTACATTTTACAGGTCAACAGCATGCAATGTACAAACATATTTGTAAACACCCCACCCCCTAAAACCTGCTGAGCATTTAACAACTCTCCCTTTACATAGGTCATACACCATTACAATGGTTAAGCTTCTCGGTATCTAAACTTAGATCACTTCCCTTCTAAAATGAAGTATAGTCGGATGATTAATCATCAGTAAAATATGAAAGAAATTTCAACAATACTCTCAATAGAAGTTAGTATAGGCTTCTCACATAAGTGTAATACAGACAGAGAAGTTCTTGTAACTGATCAAAATGCTCGTAAATTAATTCGTACGAGTACACTAAAAGATCCATGAATAGCTACTATGATTACCTACTCAATAATTACGAATTACCTAATCAAGCTTCTAGCGTGGCGGATCTTACTCGTTTGGCAGCCGAGAAAACGGTGGCCATAACACAATTTACACCACTTTTCAAGACAATGCAGACTATAGTACAATATCTGCCACATTGTGAGAAATTTACCAATACTAATAAAAAATATTCTACATTGTGAGAAATTTCCCACCAATTTTAAAAGCTAAATCCCCAATAACCCACCAATTTCCAATCCAAATTCAATAAAATCCAAAATTGTAACAATTAAATTCCGCAAATTTGTCAGAAATTCATCATCAACAATCATAAATCCCTTAAATTTCCAAAAATCCAACCAGATCGCATCATCACAACAACTAACGATTCCAACAGAAATGAAATTAGGGTTTGAAAGAATGAGAAAAAAGCGAATACCTCTCGGAAAGTTGATGACCGACTTGGTAGCCAATGGATTCGATACGACGAGCGGCGAGCTCAGGCTTGGTGGCGTAGAAACGATCGGCGTAAGATGAAACCATTTCAATCAATAAACTATCTACACAACTCTCTGCTACTTCCCTCCCCATTTTCTCTCTCTTCTCTCAGCTTCCAAGGTTTTTGTGAATTTGATGATGTTGAGTTTACAACCCAGAAAATGAAGTTAAAATTTACCAGAAGAAGAAAAGAAGGGAAAGTTGAGAAGCAAATTAGAGTTTCCTGACCCAAAAAAATTACTACTACCCGACCATATTGTGTGCATCATAGGTAATGAAAAATATACTAGTATTTTGAGGGAAATTTTGATTTTTGCTACCTATCAAACAGGTCGAATTCATTTTTGCTACTCATCAAAACTTTTATTTTATTTTACTACCTAACATATGCCCATTTTAAAATTTTGCTACCATTGAATAGAATCCGTTTATAATTCCGTTACAACCTTCATTACCACCTTCCGGCCACCACTCCCTCCTTTGCCATCGTACAAGCCTCCCTGTTAGCCACCAAAAAAAAAAAAAATTAAATCAACCACCCAAGAAACCAACCTTGCCCCCTCCCGTTAGCCACCCAGCTCCCTCCCCCCGACCAGCGACCGGCGAACCCATCCCACCCCTTTTCCCCCACAAACGCAACCCAGCCCCCTCCCTTTTCCCCTGCTACCCCGATCCTAGCCACCACACCGAAACCACAATCAAAGATCCGAATCGCCGCAACCACCACCACTACCACCACACTTCTGCAACACTTTGCTCCAAACCCTAACGAATTGACCCGCCTTAACCTTTTCGGCCACCCTAACCCCTAAACCACCACACCGCAACTTTTTTCGGCAAACTTAAATTGATTTCTAGACGAGGTTCGATGGATCAGCGATTTGGTCTGATTTCGGGAATTGATGTGGGTGGCAGCAATTGGTGGTTTGAGTATCGGTGGTTGGGAATTGATTTTGTGCGGGTTGAGTGAGGAGGTGGTTGCAGGGGTTGCGATTGTGGGCTGGTATTTGGAGAGGAGCTGCGTGTGGTGGCTGATTTGGTTGCGAGAACGGGGAAAGGGAAGGGGGGTGGGTTCAGTTGGCAGCGTAGGGGTGGGGGAAAGGGAGGGGGGTGGGTTCGCGCCGGCGCCGGCCGAATCTCTGGGCACCCCGGCAGGGGGGAGGGAAGGGGTGGCAGTTGAGGGGAGTGGTTTATTTTTTTGTTTTTTTATTTTTAATTTATAATTATTTTTTTTTTTTTTAAAAAAAAGTTTAACGGAATTATTAACAGATCCGTTAAGTGGTAGCAAAATTTAAAAAAAGGGCACATGTTAGGTAGTAAAATAAAATAAAAGTTTTGATGGGTAGCAAAAATGAATTCGGCCTGTTTGACGGGTAGCAAAAGTCAAAGTTTCCTATTTTGAGATCTTGTTAAAAGCGTCACGATGTATATTTATCAAATTTTTTATAATTTTTGCTTATAAGAAATTAAAGATATTAATAGTTGAATTTATGCATTGGCAAACTTGACTAAAGAAACGTGTCAACTAAAAAGAAACGGATAAAGTAGTTACTAGTATACCAAAACTATGGAGTAAAACTGGTAAAGTACTTGTAAAAATACGAGTATGAAGTTTGTCTCAATTTTTAAATTCATGACATGGATTTATTTCGGGCGGTATAAAAATATCTGATCCGTTTGATCCAATCCAAAATTTCAAGTATATGCAAAAATAGGGAAGCAAATTGGAGCTTCCTGATGGTTTTAATTATACTCCCTCTGTCCCTTAATTATAAATCTATTTCTTTCATTTATTACTCACATAATATAATAAAGAGAAATGGACATATAATAAGGGGCAGAGGGAGTAATATTTAAGAAACAGTAACATAAATTAACAACTTATGTAATTAAATAATTAATAGAGTATAAAAATGGTCAAATTTGATCATTGATATATGTAAAATTCAAAATATTACATTTAAAGAGAACAAGCAAAATATTTAATGCTTGTTTGGTTGGAAGATATTTTTCTTGGAAATGGAAATTCCCAGGCAATAGGCAATAGCTAAAATAAGTTGTGTTTGATAAGAAATTTTATTTCCCAGGAAATACCTATTCCCAATGATGTAACCAAACACTTTTGCACAATTTTTATGTAAATTAGCAAGGAAAAAACTTTTCCATGAAGTATATGATTTCATGTGGGAATTTATGTCCCATGTTGAACCAAACAAGTAATTAAGTAACTCCACACCATTTAATTGATATGGACTATTATTGTAGGTAGGGATGGCAATGAAGAGGGTCAGATGCGAATGATGGTACCTCCATACCCATATCCGTCTAAAATTCTTATACCCATCACCGCCCCACCACCCGTGGCGGGTACAATATCCACATCCATACTCGCCCCACCGGATACAAGATAGGATCTATCCCCACCCCAAAATTGTCCCAAACTCATTGCCATGATGCTCCATTATATCACATTAATGACAATTATATCAAATTAGAAAATTGGGACTTTTACTATCCAAGCTTATTGGGTCTTAGGGGATATCAAGTTTCATAAATTCTAAATTTTTCTAGAAGAAATATGGTGCGGGTATAAGGTGGGTACGGGGTGGGGCGGATATGGGACGGGTCTACTCTAAAATCCATACCCGCCCCATCACCTATGGCGGGTACACATTTATACCCATCCCCGCCCCATCACCTGCCAAACCTCCTTCTATCCCCGCCCCACTTGGGCGGGGTGGGGCGGGTCTCCCATTTAACCCAACCCACTACCATCTCTTGTATGATTATCCTCTTCTTCCTTCAAAATATTGATTACCATTTACCTCTATATTTTAACTTTATTAAGAGTTGTATTGAATTGATAATTAATATTAGAGGTACGTAGGGCAGGTATGTAGTATATGGGGGAGTAAATGAAATGAAGTAAACTTATGCAACTATGCTAGCTTAAAGTATTGATCAATCCTTTTTTTTTTAATGATTCATAAAAAAAAAAAATCGATCTTAAAGAGATGGAAAGAGTACATAATATCCTAATTGATGCAACCATGCTAGCTTAAATTTATATTAATAATTTCTTAGAAATGATTTATAAAGAAAAATAAGACAATATTTAAAAGATAAAAGGAATACAAAACATCCTAATTGATACAAGTACTCGTATTTGTTTTTGTAAAGATAACATGTAATATGACAATAGTTAACTAGAAAACCCTTAGGTACCTATACTTGATTATGAGTTCAAATCTTGTCAAATTACTTTTCTCTAAGTTTTTTAAACCTACTTTTATCTCTCCATTCCTCTCTCGATCTTTCCTTTGGTGCTCTCTTTTTCATTATCAATTACAGTTCACTAGTTCGATATGGCATGTTGAGGCACCAATCAAGCAATCAGTATATTACACAGACCCAAATGTAGCAAAGTACACCCAATCCTCAAATGCTCATTTGCTTTGCCTCAAGTGCTATTTTACTCGACGTCAGAATTTGCGAACAAGCAGGCAGAATGCCAAATGCATTGGCATAAAGCAAGTTCAAACATAAATGCAAATCACATTCATAAGCCCTAAATAGGATAATATAATAGATCAAAGTTGCAAAAGCCGTTAAATATATAGCTAGGTAGTATAAATCATCAAACATAGTTCACAGCCAATGCAAAATCCAAACATATAACAGAATCCAGTAGATTACATAACATGGCCAATTCAAGTCACAATAATTCTAATTTTTATTTAGGACCCATCTCTCTCTCTCATTTTTTTTTCCCTAGACTAATCTTTGATGGCATAGCAAGGAAACCACAATCTGCACTTCTATTTCTCTTTAACCTTGAAGACCAATAATTCCTGCACCAATATCAGAAATTTTGTTACTATCAATCCAAAAAAATGAAGATAATTGGCAACCTGACTAGCACTATAGTCAGGGATAAGAATCCAAAAACCATTCAAGGATTTATAAGCTTACCACAAGCGATTCTTCCACCAGCATTGCCTGTGGTCTTGCTGAGTTCATGTCCACCTAAAAATAATATATCCCAAAACAGAGATGAATTAGGATTCTCTTACAGTATTCTGATCTGTGTATGAGATAAATGCGGCTACAGCAGGTCTTGTAACACACAAAGCTAAAATAAAATCCAGCTCTAAAAAGGTGTACAAGGATCTGTTTCATTGTGCTCTTCTTAATGCAAAAGAGTAAATTTAAGTCTTGTAACATCTAATGTCCATGACATGAAGGTATGTTATAATTACAACAGTAACTATGTGCAATCCTAAGAGACCTAAATGGCTAAATCCAAAGCATACATATTTCAACTTCCAAAACTTCAATTATATGGGCAATGTGATGATAGCATGCTTATTTATACGTTCTCTGTAAATGCATGTTTTCAGTCTATCACTGGACAAGCCTAGTTGGTTAGGCAGTTAAGAAAGAGAGGCCTTTTCTAGATACTTCTATACACAAACAGCTTCTTGAAATCCCTTTAAAAAGAGCTCTTAAGTTTGATTGTTGAACACAAAATAGATTTTTAATCTCTCTGTTTCCCGATCCTTCATTTTCTCTATTTTTTATTCTCTGTTCTTTTTGCTCAAATCTTTTACTATTTTAGGCTTTTAGAAATGGCAAAAAGTGAGAAAATCCAACAGGATAAGATATAAATATATACTACCTCCGTTTCATTTGTGACATTCACCAACATCTAGGTAAAATTTGTTTGTGAGTGGTAAATAAAATATATATATATGAAAAAAAAAAAAAAAAAAAAAGAGAGGAGGAGAAGGTTGTATCTTGCATGTGATGAGGGGATAAATAGAAATAAAAGAAAAGTAAAAGAAGAAAGAAAACATTTGTTGCAAATTATTGTAGTTTCCAATTATGGTAAATGTTGCAAATAAATTTAAACAGAGGTAGTAGATAGCTTAATAGAAACCATCTTGTTTACTCATTCAGCATGTAATGCAAAAAGAAAAAGGCACTCATCAGGCTATCCCTCAATGATGTATTCCAAGGCTTTTCCACAATCAGTTAGTAATAATAAAAAGCTACCCTAAATGCCATAAGACCACTCAAAAACAATTTAACTCTCTATTGTCTCACCACCCTAGATGATTAAATTAGCCCAATAATTGCAAGTTCAACATAGCTTCCTCCAGATTGCATTAGCCGCAGTAAAAGGTTCAATACAGAAAATTGACATAATGGATGGAGTGATGCCTTAAATAGTAATGACAGGTCAAATGTTTTGGACCAGCAATTAACTAATAGT